ACATTTCATTCCCCACTGTATATCTTCTCAGGCTATTATGTCAATGTTCCTACATAAAGATGGCAGTGACTTTACAAGAGGAGAGAAGAGATAGCTTTGGACCCATCTGCAATCTTACTGATAGTTCAGGCAGGTATGTGGATGTTTCCCATGAGTGGACACCCCATAAGTTAGGTGGACTTTTGCCGTTTTGCTTGTATCCAACCCCAAGACAGCAGCCAGGAGAGGCCATGAGGTATACCACTGGTGAGTGAGCTGAGGCAACAAAAGAGGTAGCATTAGAATTATCTCCCACATTACGGGGTTCTATGGTCAAAGACCTCAGAATGTCATGTGGAATTCTCATACCAGGGCCTTACGTGAGAGGCAGAATTTGGATACTTGCTGTATAGAAGGTATCAGCCACAACATAACATCGGCAAAGAAAGTGACAACAAACAAACCCAAGTTGCAAGTCTCTTTGCCTTTCACTCCTTGATGCTCCCAACAATTGCCTACAGATAGAAAGGAGGGCTGTAAGTCTATGAATCAGGTATGAGATTGCAATTTAAAACTGGGAGAAGCTAACATTTATTAAGCAAAAAGTACCAGAAAATTATGGACTCTTCCCTTTAAGAAACAATAACAACAACAACAAAAATGAATTCCATAGAAAACAGCTAAGAGAAAAGCATTCATATTTTTATACCATAAATTTGAGATTCCTTAATGCACTAACTACAGCTTATTAGTATGATAGGTATGATTCATGTACTCTTGTGTTACCTCTGTATCCACAATGCCTAGAAGAGTGTCTGCATATAATAGAGTGTAGATGACTAGCTAACTTTGCATTTTGGTTGGTAGTTGAGAGTAATAAAAATGGAAAGAGTGGGGAGAAGCCGGTTTTGATGTTCTAGGCATAGTCAGTTTGAAACCCAGACATTTAGGTGATAATGTGATTAAACTATGCCCGTGGTCAGCAGGCCATTGACCTAAAAGAGGTTTGGACCTAAAGTCCTAAAAGAGGTTTGCAGAGAAGTTCTCCTGATACCTCAAGGGTTCTCAGCATAAATACTTGAACAATTGACTACCACTGAGGATACTTCTCTCTGATGGAATCAACAGTAGCCTCTGCTGATTTGGAGGCCTTAGATTTCAGTGCTGAAACTAGATTGTGGTGGCGCCCAAATAAGTCTCGAAGACAACTCTGCTCAGGTGGTTAGAGGCCGAATTTTGTTGTACCGACGATCTCCCTGCACAGAATGATTGGCCATGGAATATTTTGAGGAAGAACCTATTAAGGTGTTGTATAAAACATAAAGCTCAAAAGAGATGCAAAGCATTAATATGCATATGTTATAAAATGTTTAAAAAAAAGGGGTGCACCTGGGTGGCTCAGTCAGTTAAGTGTCTGCCTTCAGCTCAGGTCATGATCTCGGGGTCCTGGGATCGAGCCCCGCATCGAGCTCCCTGCTGGGCAGGAAGCCTGCTTCTCCCTCTCCCACTCCCCCTGCTTGTGTTCCTCTCTTGCTGTGTCTCTCTCTGTCAAATAAATAAAATCTTTAAAATAAAATAAAATAAAATAAAATAAAATAAAATGTTTAATATGCATACGTGACAGTTTTGGTGACTCCTTTACCTTCCAGACTGCCTTTGAGCTTCAGGTTGAACTAATTTCTTCTGGGTGGAAGTGTGAAGGAAAAGGAGATAAGGTAGTGAGAGAGACTGATGGTCACCTCAGGGGCGTGTGACATCAGAAGAACCCTCACGTGTCCTAGTAAGAGCCAGCTCAGCTGCTGTGTAGAGCTCCCATGGCAAGTTCTTAGTTATCAGCAGGAAGACCAGCAACCAACAGAGGACTGTACCAATGACCAGTTAAGCGAAGAAGTGCTTGCCTCTCCCTTTCCCTTTCCTAATGCCAATTTTTCTCAAAACTTACTCTTGTATATAAATGTTTCTAACTAGTAAAGACAAAGAAGAAAAGATGATAAGGGATGCACCTATGAACACAGTTGATATTTTTACTAATTTTTTTATCCAAAGTCTTTGATTAAAAAAAAAATCTTTTTCTTTTTACAGTGTCAACATTTTTTTTAAATAATTCAAAGACTAACTTACAGACTTTGATTTAACAGGTTGAACTTCAGAGCATAACTTTTTTCATTATTTTGAATGGTTTTCAGTGATTTTTATTTTTTTTCAGCAATCCCTTTTATGTGTTACAAGGAAGAGAAATACAGACAGATAAGTGAAAGCCATTTTATTTTCCCCCAGAGAAACAACATGAATGCTCTAATTTGAAGGGAATGGCAAAGTATGTACTGATTGGCAAACATGAAATCTACTCTAAAATTTGGCTTTAATTTGATGCTTAGTGGGTAGAATCATGGAAGAAAATGCACTCATCTGTGGTATCGGGAGATCTCCAATCTAATCCCAGCTGAGCTGATATTTTTTACATAAATTTTGGCATACATTATATTTTCCCTGGGCTGCAGATATATATAAGAAGGAAGCTGGTATAGAAAAAATTTAGTATCCCTTCCAAATATGATCTATGACAACTTGAGGTTGGGAATCACCCCAGACTATTTTTAACTAAAGAAAAGAGCCCCCTGACCATTTGGCCGTTCCTTAGTCCACTGTGAAATGTCTCTAAAGGCCATTTCATTTCAGACTGAAATGTAAAAATGTTTCAAGATAGAGCAAGACATAAAACTAAAAGGAATATTTTAAATATTTCTCCCATATAGAACAATACATTAAAGGAAAATGTTATACAACTAAACCAAAATTCCATGAGGTCAAGAATTGAATCTATCTTATTTGTTGTTCTATTGTCAGTGCCTGACGCAGTGATCGAATAACTATCGGTTGAATGAATGAATGACAATAATTTGTGACAATGAAAAAAAATCTCAAAAAAAAAGGTAAACCACCACTAGCTCTCTTTGATCCCATGTCTTCCCCACCCTGCAAAGGCACAGGACAATGTAGACATGAGGTGGGATAAATGAACAGTGCAGTCTCTGCCTCAGAATCCAGGCAGCCCAAGGTTCTGTGCCCCATAAGTGACTGCTGCATTACTACATTGGATCCGTGGTCAGGGAGTAGGGATGTTTATCCCAGTGCTGACTACTAGGTTTTTGCATGAGCCAAAGCTTACCCCCTTTTGCTGACAATAGCTTTAATGCCTTGTTTCAGAGCCTGAGTCCTCTCTCTCCCCACTCTAAGGAGGGTCACTCAGATTTAGGTTTCTGACTTGGTCACTGCTTTACATTTTGATTTCTGTAAGTTGCCAGCTTCTACAATGTCCTAGTTGTAGTTGGGGATCCAAATAGCTTTTGAAGATTCCCATAACATATAGAAGCCCTTCATTGAAATTCCAATTCAAGCAAAATCCTGTTAGCCACAGTCATCATTTTCCTCCATCTAATATTTATCTGAGTTACCTACAATTCTGAATATTGTACTCCTGGCTTTTCCAACCCATGGCTCTTTTTGGAGCCCCTCCTATGCAGACTTTTGCTGCTTTGGTCCTCTAATGGAATCTCTACTTATAGAGGGGCCTGATGTGAAAGCCAACCTGAAATTTCCTTAGCCTGGTATAAATAAATCATCACATTTGCCAAGTTGTCCTGAGGTATAATAATGTCATTGGTTTTAGCATGGAAGCAATTAGCAATGCTTCCTGTTTTAAGATCAATGAGAATATGATCTGACAAGTATAATAAGTATTCAGACCCTAAATTTTGAAATTATCAACCAGTGAGAAAAAATGTTGTTAGAACTTCCAATTTTATCACAAGGAAGTTCTGCATCACACTATTTTTGAATCCTATATGGAAAGGAAAGTAAAATTTACCCATGCTCTTCTTTAAAATGATGTAAAAAAGAACTAAAAGTTTCTTCCTTCACTTTTTCCAATCTATTGCCTGGAGAAAATAATTATTATTCACCGAACACCTACCATGTGCCAGGAACTATTGTAGGTGCCCAGAATCCATAAGCAAAAAATAAATTTATCTTCCTTCATGAAACTTATATTTTGACTGGAAAAGCATACATAAAAAATTAAGTGAAAAAAATATAATGATAAGTAGTACAGAGAAAAGTGACATTAGGATGGGGATAGGAAGTGTTAGGGGAGTCCATACTAAAATTTTAGGTTGGGGGGCTGGGAAAACTTTATAGAGGAATTGATAAGTCAAATCATGCAGATCTCTGGAAAAGAACATTCCAGGCAGAAGGAATAACCAGAGCAAAGGCTCTGAACTGAGAGTATGACTAGAAGGTTTGAAGACAGTAAGAAGATTTGTGTGAAACTGGAAGGAAAGATAAAAAGGAAATGATGTTATTACCGGGTGGGTATGGGGAGGGGGCAAGGATATATGTCATAGTAAGTACTTTGATTTTTGTTCTAAGATGAAAAAAAATAAAGGAGTATTTTTAAAAAAGAGTGAAACAATCTCAGTCCGGCTTGAAAGGGTCATGCTGGCTGTGTTGAAAACACACCGAAGGGGTAAAGCACGACTCAAGAAGACAACAAAGTCTTGCCATGATTCAGAAATAGGTTTGCACTAGTGTAGCCCTGGAAATTCCAGGACAGTAGTCCCCTCCCTCTGTATCTATGGGGGGATGCGTTCCAAGACCCCCCAGGATGCCTGAAACCCCAGACAGTACTGAACCATATATAGACTAGTTCTTTCTTCCTCTACATAAAACACCTATGATGAAGTTTAATTTACAAATTGGGCCTAGTAAGAGATTAACAACAATAACTGGTAATAAAATAGAATAATTATGACAATATAATAAAAATTATATGAATGTGATCTTTCTCTCTCTCTAAATATCTTATTGTACTATTCTCAGCCTTCTTGTGATGATGTGAGATAATAAAATGCCTCCATGACGAGATGAAGTGGGGTAAATGATGCAGGCATTGTGACATAACATTAGACCACTATTGACCTTCTGATGAGTCATCAGTTGGACCATCTGCTTCCAAACTGTGGTTGACTGCTGGTCAGGGCAACTGTGGGAGAGGAAGATCACAGGTGATGACAAGGGATTACTGTGACTGGATTTTCAGTATGATTTGAAGGTAAGGCCAACAGGATTTGCTAATGGTGTAGATGTGGGACAAATGGTTTAGATGGAACAAAGAATAGATTCAAGGATGCCCCCAAATTGTTAACCTTAAGGAACTGGAAAGACAGAGTTGTCATAGAGTGAGATAGGGGATTGTTAGAACAAGTTTAGGATGATGTAAGAACCAGAAGTTCAATCTTATTTTTATTTATTTATTTTTAAAGATTTTATTTATTTGACAGAGAGAGAGAGAGAGCACAAGCAGGGGGAGTGGCAGGCAGAGGGAGAGGGAGAAGTAGACTCCCCGAGGAGCAGGGAGCCCGATCCGATGCGGGGATACATCCCAGGACTCTGGGATCATGACCCGAGCCAAAGGCAGTGGCTTAACCAACTGAGCCAGCCAGGCGCCCCAGAAAAGTTCAATTTTAGACATGTCAACTTAGAGATAATTATTTAAGTGGAGATGTGAGGAAGCAGTTGGATATGAATTTGGAGGCAGGGAAGAGATCCAAAATACAGATATAAGTCTAAGGGTCATCAGCATATAGGTATATTTAAAGATAAAGAATGGATGAAATCACCAAGGAAGTGATTGTAGATGAAATGAGAATAGATTCAAGAACAAATCTTTGGCTGAACTTGAAGTTTAGAGGACTGGAAGAAGTAGAGAAACAAGCAAATAAAAAAAAAAGAGAGAGAGAAACCAGGTAAGAGGGAAATTAGGTGAATATGTTGGCTTTTAAGGTAAGGGTAAAAAGTGATTCACGGTATTTGTCCTATGATTATATAGATCCTATATGCATAATCAAATGTCTATGTATACAAATTAATGCATATGCATGTTTGTTTATGTGGGGAGCAGTTTTTATTTTATAAAATGGGATCATGCTATACCTAGTCATCTAAAATCTACTTTTAAAATTTATCACAAAGAAATTTTTGTATCATCTTCACTCTTAAGAGTAAAGATGTTTTATTTTCAAGTTTTTGATTGTCCAGGATTATTAAAACAATGTATTATGATAAACTTAAAAAAATACAACACAGTGAAAATATTGGCTTTAATTTTTAAACACTTGCTCTTTTCTATTTACTTAATAAAAATCCTCCTTGTAAAAAGAAAAAAAAACCAAAGTAAGGAATAAGGGAGTAGGAACCAGATAGAATAAATGTCAAATTGTCCTTATACCTTACTATTGCTATTAATACATTTCAATGCATGCTGATTCTCTTTTATTCGAATGAGAAAGTAAGCTTTGAATAGAGCAGAAATTTTTATGAAAAAAAATCATGAAACAAATGACAGTTTCTTCTCATTCTTAGCAGAGATAAAAGTGCTTTTTTTTTTTTTTTGGTTTGTTTTTCTCTAAGATTCTAACATCTATTGCTTTCACAAAGACAAACTCTATGGCAAATCACCTATGTGGGAGCTCCATGATTTTCATTAGATGGAAGAGATGAAAAATAAATAAATTAACAGTAGTTATAATGTGTTACTATTCACACATTTAAGGCAGCAAAAATATGGTCCATTATTTCACTGCATCTGGAAAACAGTGAAGAGTTGAAGGCATCCTTTTAGAATATGGAGAGAGTATCTCTCAAAGGCTCTCCTTAGTTTCCCCTAGTTTTCCCCCAAAAGATATCACTTTTTAAACAGTGAATTGGGTATGTCACAAGACATTTCATCTACTAAAACAAAAATGAAAATCAAGTACATGATTATTAAACATTAACTACATACAAACTGTGGTAGGCAGTTTGTAATTTGTATAATGTTTCAGATTGTTCACTGGTGTTCAGAGTGGAGTGTATGGAAATATTTCTTTAGAAGCAATTCTTTCAAATTGAATAATAGAAATCTTTATGGTGCATACTTTAAGGACTTTATTAATAAGAAGTAAGTACACTGCCAAACACAATTTTTTAACCAATAGTTCTTATGATCCAAGGGCTAAAACAAATTAGACATGTCACTTGAAATTTTCTGAGCATACAAGTGATGTTCAGGCTGCCTGTATGGAAAACTCTCACTGAATAAAAAAATAACAGAGGTGGACAGAGTTAAGTCTTTTTTTACTTCCTCCACTGCCTATTAAATGCTATTCTCCTTCTTCCTTTATCCTTTTTATTTTTTTAAAAAAAATCAGCTGTATTGAAGTAGATTCCATGTGCAAAAGTGCTTGCTGAACAGATGTGTAGTAAACAAGTAAGAAAGGATTGCATGTTTGAAAAGATTTCTAAACTGGTATTCTAAATCAGGCATGTAATCTCAGCTCTGCTGCTGACTAATTAGTCTTGTCTTTTAGGTCCTTAGGCCCTCTGTTCTCTTTGTAAAATGAAAGCAAGCCATGACGAAGCACTTGTTCATGAGAACAAGTGATGGGATGCTGAGCAGAAACTTCTAGATTAGAGACCAGTACATTTGGAATATCTCTTTAGGTGATGTATTTGCTTCAGTAGCCTGGAAATTCAGAGAGGAAATTATTAGGGTATGTGAGGTTTGTTTCTATTTTTAGGAATTACAATGGCCCTTCATAGACTTGTCCTTTCTCCCCCTTTTCTTTTCCTACAGAGATGGTTTCTCTTTTAATTTGTTCTATTTTAGCTGAGAATTTTTGTTTATTTTCTTTATTTTACTTTCACATTATTTAGGTTAAAACTACTCTTAGTTCCATTTTCTTCCCTTGCTTTTATATTTTCATCTGTTCTGTTTACAATTCCTCAGAACTGACTTTCTGCAGCATCAATTGTGCTCTTTAACAACAGGTGCATACTTTACATTCTTCCTCTTTAACAACAGGTGCATACTTTACATTCTTCTTTTTTTGAAAATAATTCTGGAATTTTTGAAATTGAGTTTTGTGCATGTGTCTGTCTCCTACCTCACAATAAATATTGGTTGAGTGACCAACTTTCAGCCTTGTCTCTGCTATTGTTCATGTTTCTTTTCCATATCTTGCCAAGAACATGCACCTGATGTTCTAAATCGATGTTCTGAATGTCTTCTTTCTTTCAGAAAATAATTTTCAAACTTCAGTTCTTACTCTCATTCTTCATGACAGTTCTTGCCTTTTCTAAGACCTCATTTCATTTGTTTGCTTGTTTGCTTTGTTTGTTGAATATTCAGCTACCCTTAAATGGGGTATGATGAGTCTGTCTAGAATTTGGTAGAACAGAGATTTTCTTTCCTCCCTCCTCCCCCTCCTCCTTCTTAAAAACAATATTGAAATACAATTAGTATAAAATGTCCTATTAGTTTCAGGTATACAGCATATTGACTGGACAATTCTACTCAATGCTCACCACAATACGTATAGTTACCATCTGTCACCATGCAACATTATTACAATATTATAGACTATATTCCCTATGCTATACTTCTCGTCTACATGACTTATTTATTATATAACTGGAAGTTTGTACCTTGTACTACCCTTTATCTATTTCACCCACCCTCCCACCCACCTCCCCTCTGGCAACCACCAGCTTGTTCTCCATATTTAGGAGTCTGTTTTTGTTTATTCATTTTTTAAGTTTCCACATATAAGTGAAATCATATGGTATTTTTCTTTCTCTCCCTGACTTATTTCACTTAGCATAGTACTTTCTAGGTCTATCCATGTTGTCACAAATGGTAAGATCTCATCCTTTTTATAGATGAGTAATATTCCATTATGTATATGCATAATATACATATCTTCTTTATCCATTCATCTATCAATGGACACTTCAGTTGTTTCCATTTCTTGGCTATTATAAATAATGCTTCAGTAAACAGAGGGGTGCATCTATCTTTTTGGGATTAGTGTTTTCATTTTCAATACCCAGTAGTAGAATTACTGGGTCATATGGCTTTTCTATTTTTAATTTTTGAGATACCTTGATGGATCTGAGACTTGCATCCCCTTCACTGTGTATTTGTTTTGCTCTAAGTTACTATACACATCCTCAGACCTAGACCAAGAAGCCAGGTTGATGCACAAGGATCCTAATTCACTTTGTGGTATTCAGTAGAGATTTATTGAAGTAGGGCTGCTGGACTGAGGTTCAACCTCATGCAGGTTCTCTGACCTGGAAATTCTGTGTCCTTTACTATCGAATTGTTTTGTTCTAGTCTCAGCATGTCAATAACGAGTTTTGTGGCTGGACTGGCCCTTGTGTTTCTTATGATGGTTGCAAGATGCCTTTAACAATTACTGCCAGGAAACTTTTAAAAGAGACATGGTTTATTACTTACAAGTCCTGGAAATTACACAGCACACCTGGGGCCACATACTGAAGTCTCAAATAGAAAGAAAGAGTGCATAGGCCTGTGGTTCTGCTTTTATTGGGGTCAAGGGTGGGGACCTAGGGTTTTGCAAGATCAATCTTTATTGGTGAATTTTAAACATAAGAGAGGGAATTTAAAGCACAGAAGAGAGAAAAAAAAAAAAAAGGAAAGGCCAAATGGTCAGTTATCAAAATCAACCAAGATCTCTAAAACAAAGGAGCCTGGGAGGCAGGTGCAGGTGGTTCTTTATCCATATAGTTGTGTGACTGGCAATGCATTTATTTAAGTGGATGCCTCAGCAATAAAGCTTAAGTCAGGCACTTGGATTACAAAAAAGAAAAACCAACTGTCAGGGCTTATACTACAAGAATAAAGATAGGAAACATTCTACCCCAAAGCACACAGCACTTCTTGGTGCTCTTCCTATTTTTCCTGACAACAATGTTTTTTTTCTTCAACAATTTAGCAACACACGTTTCAATGTGTTTCTATACATCATATCCCACTTCCTGCCATGTCACCTACTGGGTGTTGTATCACTGAAGGGATGGAAGCAGAAAAAAGCTAATGGGAGTGGAAGGGAGCGATAGAATCTATCTCCAAAAATAGTCCCTGGGCATTTGGAAATAGGAGTGACAATTTTGTATGTCATAGAGTTAGAGAGGAGGGCAACAAGGTAGTGCTGAGGCTAGGATGCTTTTCAATCTTCCTCTTTCTTCCTTCCTTCCTTCCTTCCTTCC